GGACATGGATGTGTTGATCCTACAAAACTGAAAACTGTTTCTGCTGACACATTTGACTTGCAGTGAAGTACAATTATACGTTTTTCGTGTTAGAGCAGCTCAATCACAGTTATGGAATATTTTAAGCAGGGTGGAAAAAACTGACACACATTGAAATAATCATATTCGCAGAGGCATGGAAAAGGAAAAATGTGCAAGCCTGTGTAAGAGATGGATGACAAGCAACACGTTAGACTTGACACATGTTCCAAACACCGTTCAGCAGAGAAACTAGAGCAGTGTATTTCATATCCTCTAACAAATCCAACAGACCGGACAAAAGAATCCAACAGACAGTTTGACCAAATTAGGCTATAACCATTGTGAGCCTGGTTACTATGTCGTAAAGACTGTTTATCACATTGATTTAACAGGGGGCTATCCCACTGGCACACCGTTAAAGTATGTAGACTTGGTAAGACATAGCTGCTTTTTTGATACTTAAATATTTGTTATCAAACTCAATGCTTCAAATGGGTAAAATGTGTGGTTCCATTTATTTTCTATCCAAAAAGTCTTAAGCTCTGTGAGCCATGGTGTATATTTTGTTGGGGGTCATTACCTCGGAAATAGTTATAGCCTGAATTAAATGAATCTTGGTAGAAGTGTGTAGCAAATGCCAATGTAGATACAATTATATTTTGGAGCCGATCCGAATAATGGGTTGGAAACGCATATTATTTTTCACTAACAGATACGGCCTTGGCAGAGGTCTATGCTAAGTGCCCTTCTAGTTTTGCTGTGTGGTGGTGCCTTTCCCACTTCTCAACCACAGGTATGGTGCAGATGGACTGCAAAATAGATTTTAAGCAATATAAACATTGATAATAGACTTTAAACTTTCTGTCCTTTTAATCAATGGCAGCCTTTTTTTTATAGATTCACATAGAATCAGACCTATTCATCAGTAACACTGGCAGAAAGCGGCTGCAGGGAGAACAAATATAATATGTGTTTGGATGACACTGGGCTGCTGCTCTCAGCGTTGATGCATGTTGAAGACACGCCTTGACAAGCAAACACTCCAGAAAAAAGTGAGTCTGAGTTCAACGAGCAGCTGAGAGAAATCTTTCTCTTTGATTTGTGTGAATGTATTCTTTACGGCTGAAGGACTCCCTTGCCTGGGAGAACCCAGGTGCTTTATTTGGGTAACATTTTTAAAGTGGTGCTGTACTGCAAATAACATTTCTGTCCTGGTTTTATTTAATATTTGCTGATATTTTTTTAGGTAAAACAGGACATCAGCACAAAGCTTTCTTTGGCTTACATTTCATTTTGAGTCACAGTGATCTGATATGTTACTCTGCCTTGATTGTACCGAGGTTCTGTTTATTTTGTCATTCAAATGTACTTTGTTTTTGTCTTTGTCATTTGGTGATAATAGCTATTTTGAAAAAGTACCTTGCATATCTGTCCAGAAAGCTCCAATTAAACATATAAAAAAATATAAATTTAAGACCAAATAAAAAACAAGGCTCTCAACTGTGCAAGGATGTATAGGCATGTTCTGTGAGGTTTTCAAACATATTCAAACATTTTCTCTGGAATATTTAAATGTACTTACTGAAGTAAAAGTAGACAGCAGGTAATAGCAGATCAGATACAAAATAATAACGGATAAGCTCTGAAAGAAAGTGAATCCATGGTGATATGATCTTCAATATGTTAATAATTGCTTTACACTAAGGCAGAGGTTAGTTCGCTGGTCCTATATCTACTGCACAAAAGAACTTGACTCTTAGAGACAAAAAGGGAAGTAGCTGAATTTGATGGAATATTTTAACAGTAATAGATAAATGTAATATCTAATCGAATCAAAGTTAGTCATGCAGAGTGAAATGCCTGGACTTTAGTGATGTCCCGTCTTCCTCGCAGAGTCAGAGGACACACCGCCTCTTCTGAACTCTGCATCACCCCATTATCAGATAGTGAGGCACTGTCATGCTCAGTGGAACCGCCCTAAGGTCTGAGCTTCTCTCGGCTTATTTAGTCAAACCACATAAAGCGCGAAGAATCCGCAAAGAGGCAACTTATTGGATGTTTTGCATCTTCTTGGTTAATGTCTCAGATATTTCTGAATCAAAGCAAGATTATCAAATGTGACTTCAGCATTAGTACATGAACAAAAGTCTCATCAATCGAAGGAAAGTTGTATAAGATGGGTGATGCATGAGGGATTTGCCTTTACTGTCACAAGCACCTCCGCATTTGTAAAGCAGCATGACAGATTGTTGCTCGGGGGCATTTTGTGAACCGGACAGTCATTGTATTTCCCAAGAGGTTTGTTTTTTTCATGCTTGTTGCTCCCCTCAGCCTACATGTATTTGCGCATAGATTACCCCTTTTGTAATTTTATTTGTTGGACAGTGTAATCAAATGAAAGGTAAGTACTCTCCAAACAAACAACAGTAATTGTTAGTGGCCATTGTACCGAGCCGTTCCAAAATGCACTTGAACAAAGAGCAGTTTGGGACATTCACGGAGTTTGCGTCATTCCTTTGTTATTGTCAATATACAGTATTTTTACACAAATCATATCCACCAGGCTTTATTCAAAGCAAATAGCTGTATGTCCTTGCAATCAAAATAAGCATTTAGTATTTCCGTTCAAACTTAAGCGTCATTTGTATTAATATTGTTTTTTCTGCGACCATGACCTAATGGGGTAGGGGTGGGGATAGGGGATGGGTATTTGTATTTCCTTTAATAGACAAATTGTCCCGTACTTTATATAATGTGCTGAAAGTGCCATGTCTGCAAAAAAAAAAGAGAAAAAAGAAACTTAAGCATCACAGCATTTTCCACACATTAAACTCATCGACAGGCAGACAGAAAACATCTTGGTTGTACTTCAGGATGAAAAACACCAAAAGAAACAGGCCTCAACTGGCAGAGAGGTCCCTCAGCCATCCTAAATCAGACGTGTAACAAGAGTGATGAGAGCTCCAGGTTATTTCCAGGAACAGAGAGCTTACACTTGTTACAAAGGATCTTGATTGGTCTTGATCCACAGCGGGCCGAGCGTATCACAGCTTAGTGGGAGCCCAGAGCCGAAGCTCCAGCCCGATATCATAACAGCAGCATATACAAGCTGAATCAGCCTTCCACCTTCAAGCCCATTAGTTCCACCCCAGCTCCCACCAAATGGCTGGGTGATTCCCATTGCCCGGCATCAGAGGCATCCAAGCATGTACATGACAAATCTGCAGAAATAAAGCAAGAGATACATACTAACATTATGTCCTCAGGGAGAAATCCTCTCATGTTCTGCCTTTTTCTTTTGATGCATTTCAAGCAGTGAAGGTTTGTTTTAAGAAAAGCAGAAAATAGCTCGTCTGTGAGGTGAGAGATGAAAATAAGAAGGGGGATAAGAGATGTTTCTTAAGTGTAAAGTTCACACAGTATGAGATAGAGAGGGGTCTTTAATGTGGCGTTAGTTAGTCATGTAATCAAAGGACATGTATTACATATGGTCCTTATTTTTAGAGAAACGTTTGTGAGCTCTACATTTTGGTTGACAGACACATTCAGAAATATTTAAGAGATGGGGCATTGGGTTGGGGCCAGAACATTTTTCTCTGCGTTGCTCTCTCAGTTTGACCTTCCTCTCTTTCGTCATCCTACAGCACTGAGTCTGGTTAATCATTGCTTACAGTCGGTGCTAAGTTGCCGTCAGCAAGTTCATGGGTTAAATGTTAAATGCAATGCGCACGCAGAATGATGCCTGAGGTCTTTCTCTGTTAGGAACTTACACTACAGTAGGAATGTTTTGTATTGCAGAGTGTATACCTAGTCTTGCCTAAGCTTGTCTGCTGTTTCTTGCTTGTGAAGCATGACGAAGATTTGCCTTTAACTCTCTAATGAGACGTAATGGATCCTTGAGTTATTGAATCAAAGCCAGATGCTTATTTGTTTTAAGCCCCATGTGTTCATGTAAAACTGTCATAAAGTGCTACAGCAATGGAAACTGAATTGTGACTGCAACCTGTCTCATGGCGTTATGGCTAACGAGTCAGTGCTGAGAACTCAGCTGGACCGGTCCTGACCCGATGTCAGAGCAGACAAGAGTAGCTCTGATCCCTCAGGCGCCGAGGGCAATCAGTCAGTCTGTACTACAGCTAATGCTAACTGCATCCTGTAGTCATTACACTGAGCAGGCCATTTACCAAGTAGGGCTCTTTGATTTAGATTGTATCTAAAGCATGACTTCCAGTAGAGCTTTGTAATACATAGGGTGGTTATCTACATTGTGTCTGGAAGCTCCCGGCGGCTACTTCAACCCAGACTATAGCAGCTCGTTGACATGTTCAGTCAAAACGCAGACCCAATCACTTGAATTGAAGGCTTTTTTGAGTACACACATTACATACTGTACATCTGTCATGACACATTGCGCTCAAATCTCTTGAACAACACCATAATTCCAAACATATCACATCAAGCTGCATCCTCCTGCCTGCCACGAGACTGGAACAGAATGGAATTTGAAACGTTTTCGCCAAAAATGTTTCAATGGTCAAGGTGTTTTTTGCAGAAACGTTTCAGATTTCGCTCCGTTCTCCGGCTTCAAACCAAATCTCTCGGAGGAAATTGAGAGTCTGACGGACACACGGGTGAGTGACCTCTGGCACACACTGACACACGCTCGGCCGAGCACTGACAGGATTTAGGATGAATGGTGACAGCAGCAAACTGTAGGTTTCTCAGTGGGTACTGCTAAGCTGAGCCACAGCTGTCGTATTGTTTGGATAAATGGCATTTCCCGTAGGCATTTGATCACCTGTGACGTGTCTCGTTCTGGGAATTCCCTTTTGCATGTACACCTTGCAAATCCTGGCACAAATCTCAAATCAATCATTGCCTTTTATTGTTTTGGTCCTTTTTTTTGCAGGCCAAGATGAGGTAATAAGTGGTGTGTTTGCAATCCGCATTAATTCATCGTGTGTCTCTTTGTCATCCAGGTAGTGTGGCGAGGGTAGATAAGCCCCCTTATGAGGTGAAAACCCTCCCCTGTCCTGCAGTTTCCCCCCCAGCACCAACAACAGGAATAAGGGATGTCACGGCTGTTCCTCTTTGCGGCAATGCTGATTGTCTCCTGCAGCATTGAAGTAAGTAAGAGCACACACACAGACAAACACATATCCTCGCTTTTTCCCCCCCAGAGACACAGCCCCTACTGTATGTGTGAACTTTCATTAGTCACTCGCCTTCTTTACAGTGTGGGGGTGGTGTTTTGTTCCTTAAACTCTGCTGCCTTTTGAAACAAACCAGAGAGTAGTGGCGTTGAAGCTCAAACAAACTTTCGGCCCTTGTTTTGTTTTAATAACAGTGAGTGTTGCAGTCTACAATAAATCAGCCTGTCCATACAGTAGCAAAACCCTCTATAAAGACAACACTTTCAAGTGGGACTCTGCATTACTTTGATGGATAATATCCCCATTGCGAGAATGGGTTGTTTAAATCTGCTGTGTATATGAAGTGAAGTAAAACAAATTACTGCCAATTTAGAAAAGTAATCAATTTTGTCTACTAGGTTTGTATGAAGCACACATAGCCAACATTTGTTCTTGCCCACCTGTTGTGTTACATCAAGCAAGTCGAGGAATAACAGACCTTCCTCGGGTTATTGGGAGTATTGCTGCAATGATTCAATGTTTCCTTAGGTGTCTCCTGCTGATTCTCTGGATAAGCTGAAGGAGAGTTGGAAGTTATACATGGACGAGTGTGAGCGCAACAACAGCCAAGACCCGCCAAGCACCGGTAAGATGTACAAGTATCTGTTTTCAATGTTTAAACTTGCAAGAACAGTTTTATTGGCCCACCTGGGTGCGGCGCAAACTAACCATAAAAACAATACTAGCATGAAATCATCTTCTAATGTTGATATGGTTTAAAAAGACATACAGTTTTACACAACTAGCTGATACAGAGCAACATTTATTTGGAGTATTCTAGCCACCTGTTCTTTAAGATCTTTTCTTTTGTTTCCACCAAAAAAAAGTAGGTTTGTTACTGGGCGCAACATCTTTCACAAGTACTTCTTTATTGCATTCAACTACAGTACAGTCACTGTAGCGTCTAATGGTGCAAGATGCAGATATTAGAGCTCACTTCAGGAATGTATTGCTTCCTTTGGCTACATTTATAATCAACATTATAGAATCATTTTCTTATACAGAAAAACAACATTGTGCAACATTATAATAATGTTTAATTCCTAAATCACCATTAGTGCTCTGACAACATTTCTGAGGAGACACATATAAAAAGGGATGCACTTTTATATATAATTGGCAGTAGAGTAATTGCCTTCACCTTGTAGCACAGTGGCAACTATCGAATGCTGTAGAGCTGATAATGGTGAGGTTGCGCTGTCACCAGATGGAGCGACAGCAATTTCCACTCCCTGCTAAAACCTTTGTGCTATTTGCCGCATCCCACTCTATGCTTTGTGGCCCCAGTTTGCTCCAGCAGCAGTGTTTAACTACGTGGCGAATGCTGCCCTTCAGTTGCATTATGGTCTGTTAACTTGTTAGAGAACAGCGAGGCTCCAAGTTTCAAAAAGACAGCTTCCTACACTGAACACAAAATCACACCACTCTGTCGCACACATGCTCTCACACCGTCACCCTATTAGGTCAGTAGAGGAGATGGGACACATGAAGCTCTAACTGTCCATACACCAGCATAGTCTACATCCTTTGTGGAGAAGATGAAAGGTATGGTTTGGGAAGAAGGTCATTGATAGGGTGCTTCACTTTACTTCGTCAAGATGAAAGAACATGGAGTGTAGAGATGCCATATTGACCAGCAGCCATTACTTCAAAGACATGACTACATGACATAGACGTCTTCCGCCATAGACATGATATGTAAGGACTTTAGATATATGAGACAATTATTCATATTTGATAATGTCTTTTTTTTTATCTCCAGGTCTTGTGTGCAACAGGTTATTTGACAATTACGCCTGTTGGCCTGATGGACTCCCCAACACCACAGTCAGTGTGACGTGTCCATGGTATCTTCCGTGGCACAATAAAGGTAAGACACATGTGGTTAAGAGATACGGAGGTATGTTGAAGAGCTTGTCAAAAGATTCTGCAGAGTAACTTATAAAGACTGTGTGTGTCTTTGTGTTTTTTTAGTACATCATGGCATGGTTTATCAGGAATGTGATGCAAGCGGCCAGTGGGCGACTATGAAGAATACCAGCGAGTGTGATTCTAATGATCAAAGTCTGGTAAGAAATGTCTCTCGATATTCTTATTAAAGTCAAAGTCAAAACTAACATTTTGTCTACATTAACTTATCTCAACAACACATATTACTGTAGATGCAATGTTGCCGTCAAAACTAAAGAACCTGTCAGGATACAAATGAAACCTTCAAAAAAGTGAGCTCTTTCCTATCAATGACAAAGCACAAACCTTGAACTTCACCTACATGCCTTTTCAAATTGAAAGCTACAAACTTTCTTAATTGGGTGTCTCAGTTACAAAATCCAAAGACCTATTCAGAGAACACTTGCTGGTTCTCTTAAATCATGTAAAACAAACCCTAACACAGTGGTCACCTCTATCAATGTCCCTTGTAGGCCGTGTCAACTCAATCAAAATGACCATCCTACCTCAATTTCTTTATCTTTTTCAGGCCCTACCGCATTTTATCCCTAGATAATTTTTCGACCAATTGGATTCTCTTATTACCTCCTATATATGGCAGGGTAAGCGTCCCCGTCTCAACAAGGCCCACCTGCAAAAAAACAAAGCTAATGGTGGTATGGCCCTTCCCAACTTCTCTTTATACTACTGGTCAATTAATCTGCATCGCTTTGCATTTTGGTCTCACTTCCACGGCCACCTCGATCCCCCAAACTGGGTGGCCATGGAATTGCACTCAGAGGGTAATATATATATATTCCTGCACTGCTTGGATCCAAACTTCCACTATCAATCAAATCTATCAGAAACCCGGTGGTTAAACACTCTCTAAGGATATGGGCTCAATTTAGGAAGTACTTCGGCCTGTCAGACTTTTCTCATCCGAGTCCCATAACAAAAAATCACTTATTTAAACCATCCGTTTTATATTGTGGCTTTTTAGAATGGCGCAGGAAAGGAGTCACTCGCTTTAAAGATCTTTTCATAGATAACACTCAGCAGTTGAGCAGGACATTCAATCTTCCCAAATCAGATTTCTTTAGATATTTACAGGCAAGGCATGATGTGCTCTCTCAATCACCCAGCCTTTCCATATCTACCGATGCAACCATTGTTGATACTGTCCTCTCCTTAAATCCATTCCAGAAGAGACTTATTTCAGCCCTCTATAACAAGATGTCAGATCTAAGGTGTCTCTCCACAGATAAGCTCAGCATTGGAGACGGATACGGGCCTTCCCCTTCCAGCAGATAAATGGAATGCTATACTTAAACTGGTTAATTCAACTTCTCTATGTGCACATAAAGCTCATATTTCAAAACTCAAACTATCCAAAATGTATCCAGATGTTAGCCCCTACTGTGATAAATGCCAAATGAATGAAGCCTCTCTCATTCATATGTACTGGTCCTGTCCCCGCCTAAGCATGTACTGGACGGAGATTTTCCAAACTCTATCCCAAGTGTTCAGTATTGAACTGGATCCAAATCCTCTGGCTGCCCTATTTGGGGTAATAGGAAAGGGGATGCGTTTAACTGCAGAGCGGTGGCGATCTCTGTCTTTTGCTCTCCTCTTTGCTCGTCGAGCCATCCTGCTTAGATGGATGGACAGTTTCCCGCCCACTCATCTACAGTGGTTGACAGATGTTATGTCCTGTATGAAACTTGAAAAGATCAGATACTCACTTCTATACTCAAACAGCAAATTTCAGGAAGCCTGGGGACCATTTATAAATGCATTCCAAACTCTATAAATCATTCTGTTATTGGTTTAGCTTAAGTGCAGCATATGTATGTATGTATGTATGTATGTATGTATGTATGTATGTATGTATGTATGTATGTATGTATGTATGTATGTATGTATGTATGTATGTATGTATGTATGTATACAGCAAATGTGTATGTGTAGGTTGCATGTGTATATATGCATGTGTGTATATGCATTTGTTTTACATGCATATATACTCATCCAACAATATGTCTGGCATATATTTGTGTGTATAAGGATCACTGGCAGTGATATATATATAGGGGATTACTTTAGTCGTTGTTATTGCTTGTCTGTGTTTTTCTTGTTTTGTTTTTTATTTTTCCTTTTGTACATACAATCAGCAAAGACCAATCGCTCATTTGCATTATGTTTACCATCACTATATGACAAACACTGCTTATTGATTTCCGAAACTAAATAAAAAGATTTTTGATTTGAAAACTAACGAACCCCCTCAAATAGAGGGAAACTATTTTTGAGTCTGTGTGTTTTTCTGTGTTTTAATTTGCAGCAGTACTACGGCCATATTCGGATCATGTACACAGTGGGATATTCCTTATCACTGGTGGCTTTGGTGTTGGCGCTTGGCATCCTGATATTCTTTAGGTAAGACGGATTTGTGGTTTGAATCATCTCTAAGAAATGGAGAGTATCAGAACAAAGTTCCAGTTTATGTGTATCAAACACAGCAGGGAGGTGGGGACACCCATTCAAGTAATAGTTAGACATTTTAGGAAATGGGTTTATTCACTCTCTGGTGGAGACTAAGAAAAACATATTGATACCCAGTGGCGGCGCCAGGGTATGGCTGGGGTAGGCTACAGCCATACCAAGAAATGGCTTAGCCTCACCTTAGCCCCACCATGAAAAATGATGTTAAAGTAAGCTAAATAAAGTCCGTCATCTCGCGCGGAGTAAATTGCACAGACAGCAGTTAGTAAAATTGATTTCAGTAGCCACTTGTCTGGAAATACCGAAGACTAGAAACGGTTTTGAAAACTTTTGTCACGTAGTGATCTTCTTCCCAATAAAACATCTTTGATAATGTCTTCTGGCCAATCAGAATCACGATAACGGCGTGCAGGAAGTCCCGACGGAGAATACTTTAGCGGTAGTACATCTCTATATACATAGATACAACATTACGTGAAATAAGACCCCACGGTTTGATGATTGATAGGTGTGTGGGCTGTCTTTCATTTTGACACACAGAACAATGGGGGCTATCCACCCTTATCCACAATGTAATTCACACAGCCTCTTCCCCTTTCTCTCTGAGGAGCAGCAGGTTCAGCTTTCAGAACAAAGTAACAAAAAACAAAAATGGCATTCATTTTTTTAAATATGTAGTAATAGATTTATTTATTTTTCTTCTCAAGAGAGTACCAGAATGTGTATTTTATGTTAGTATTTCAAAAAATCTCCTGGGGGAGAATCCCCCCAGACCCCCCTGCAGGGGTTGGGTTTTCAGCATGTCAACTCTTTCACCTGTGGGGAAATTGCAGGATTGGCTCCAGGTCGCCCTTTTTATTTACTACAAGACAAATGTGCCTTTTTATTTCATACAGTTCAATTTGGATTGAGACAGGGAAATAATCTAAACCTCACGCGTGGCGTTTCACTGTCAAGGGGGGCGATATAGCGTGTATGTAATTACATTGCAAATACTGACTTGAGCCCCACCACTGTATGGGTTAGCCCTACCATAGATTACCCAACACAAATACTCTGGAGCCGCCACTGTTGATACCACATAAATATCTGTTCCTTAAACACAAGGCTCAGCAACCACTTAGCTTGGCACACAGACTGGAAGCATCAGGGAAAAGCTAGCCTGCCTCCATCCAAAACTAACACCATCTGCCACCAGCACCCCCACAGTTCCCCTATTAACACATTTTATCAAAGTGCAATATCCGTAGTAACATTTAGACTTGTTGCTTTTTATTAACATACAGACATAAGAGTGGGATCATATAGAAAGGTATTTATTAGGATAAACCCCTTGGGGGTCCCGACAAAAGCAACGTCTTACAGACATACATGAACAAAATAACAGAAAGCAAAGCATGACAAACAAACAGGACAACGCACGTACAGTCTGTTAAGTAACATTCATGAAGTAATACATACAATCATTACAACCATTACAATTTGATAGACAGTAGTGTCTAATAGATCAGTTTCATCAATAACAAGAGCAGACCAGCTGAAAGTGAGATGATAATGCATGCTTAAACGTATCATTCTCCTATTTAAAGTTGTATTGCAGTTAGCAGTGTATTTGTGAATTATAGAAGGATAATCTAGTTGTTGTTGCTGCTTATTCATCAGGAAACTGCACTGCATGAGGAACAACATCCACATGAATCTGTTTGCCTCCTTCATCCTGCGAGCGATGTCTATCCTCATTAAAGATGCACTGATGGAGGCCAACCTCACATCGCAGGACCTCGGCGGGGACCAGGAGCAGGGATTCCCGCAGGCGTCCATGCCTCCAGTGGAGCTGCTGGTCAACAATGAGGTCAGTTGTCTGTGGTTAGACAGCAACCTTTAAAGTGGAGTGTATTATATATAACAGGGTTATGTCCTTTTTCCATTAGTAAAGCGGAGTGCAATGCGTCTTTTATGGGAGAGTACAGAGGGATTTCTTATATTAAAAAGAATATATACTGTATATATATATTTTTTTTTTCAGCCCTTGAGATGTTTTGCAAATTAAACATTAAAATAAAGATAAGATAAGATGGACCTTTATTAATCCCGTGGGGAAATTCAGTAGTTTAACAGCAACAGGCTAAGATTGAAAAACAGGACAGCACAGATTCACACAGATTAATACAATTAAAGGTAGGGTAGGTAAGTTTGAGAAACCGGCTCGAGATACACTTTTTGTTATATTCCATGGAATGCTCTTAACATCCCGATAGCAATGAATATCTGAAGTGCTTTGACAAAAAATCCATTAAAAAATGTCATCTGTGGAAGCCGTAGTACTGTAAAAAGCACGACCAATCATTTTAGCCGGCCCGGCTAAAATAACTGGATGGCCTACCTGCCTGTCAGCCTTCCATCTGTGCACAATCTTATCTCGTGCCCTCATTGGTCATGTGCGCGTTCGTGTGTGTTGGAGGAGGGGCTCTGTAAGGAAGTGGCAGATTTTTTCCGGCTGTGTATTTTCAAATTCTAACGCACTCGAGCTGGTTTCTCCAAAATTACCTACCCCACCTTTAAGGATAAAATCAAAGATAAAAAATAAAAATGATAAATAACTATAAAATAAGAAATGAATTAAAATGAACATATATACATATCTGATCATGTGTACATAATATTATTTACATGTGTGTGTGAAAACAGTGAGTATTTTATGTCCAGTAATTGTGTCACAATAAAACATTTACTCTGCGTCACCAGAAGAGATATTTTCATACAGTCCCTGTTCATGCATTGCACATGATGCAGGATTGTATTTGAAAAACTTATATTCAAAGACAAAACATGTTCTTAAACATAAAGTCTGTAAATGACTGTACACAAAATATAACCTGGTTAGTGCTGACATAATTATGATATTTCTTACAGTACATTAACAAGATCAATAAGTGAAATAAAAAGGTGTTGTGTGTAGAGAAATAAATAATGGTGAAGGGTTAAGGTTACTACAAAGATAATTGTAGAAGCTAAAAAACCTAAATCAGTGACGGCAGAACCACGTGTGCTGATGTGTAGTATAGTTGTGTGTTTGTTGTGTTTGTGGATCACAGCTGGCTGATGTTCGGGTTGAAGTTCCTGCTGTAGTTCCTCTCATGGCTGTAGGCACACAATCTGAATCCTGGCGGCAGAAGGAACTCCCATCTGCTGCGGCACTGATCTCCCCGTCCACATCACTCTCACTACAAAATGTTTTAACGTCAGACGGCTTGATGTTTTATCATTTGTGAAACAGACCTTGCTGTTGTTTTACAGACTGCTGTGGGCTGTCGCATCGCCATGGTGATGATGCAGTACAGTATAATGGCCAACAGCTACTGGCTGCTGGTGGAAGGCATCTACCTCCACAACCTGCTGGTCATCACTGTGTTCACAGAGAGGAACTACTTCAAAATCTACCTGTGCATTGGCTGGGGTGAGCTGGGGGTCTGCGAGTGTGTATATGAGTGTGCGTCTATGTGAAGTAAAAACTCAGGGGATGCAAGTTATTAATATGATGTGCTTAATTACACTTTTTGCATGAAAGGAAATTAAACGAGAGCAGACAAATTTAAAAAAGGACTGTAACGCTGGTGTACATCATGACTGTTTTGCATTTAGACAGCTCTCATTTCTTTCCAGGTACCCCGTTAATATTCCTCGTGCCCTGGGTGATAGCTAAACACCTGTATGAAAACCAAGAGTAAGTTTCCACAGTGCCCTCCGTCTCTCTTACTCTATTCCCTCACTCCTACCTTCCCTAGCTGCTATCAGACTCGCCTACAACATTTTCAGAAATCAGAAAAAAAGCTGGCAGATGGTATTCTTTCTTTCTTGAACGTTTGAATGTTGATACTCAGCAGGCCAATTTGATGATGATTACAACTCAATGCGTTGGCTGCAACTATACTTTTCACACAGGCACATTTAATCTTCTGTGGGAGTATGAAAAACTCTCTGAGAACAGCAGATGCTTTGGCACGTTTTTAATATTTAATACTTCCCAAACATTATTATGCAATCTCATAGGTTCAAGTCTAAGCAGCAATTGGGGGTTGAAAGGATTTTTATATCTGCACTTTCTAAAGAACGGACACATTGTGTTGTTATTTCAAACTTTAAAATCCTTGATGGTGCTGCCGTGTGTCACTCACACAGCCAGGGAGAGGAAATCGTTCTACTTAAGCAGAGTTGCAAAGCAGTGTGACAACATTTGCTACACAGTGAACCTTGTTTGAAAGCATATGAGGTGTGTCTGGGTATCTCTGACTGATTGTTCCTCTTACACTTTCCTTTTCAGGTGCTGGGGACAAAATATAAACATGCATTACTGGTGGATCATCCGTTCCCCCATACTGCTAGCAGTTGTGGTAATTCCCCTTGTTATCTCTGTTGCTGTCTTCAACCAGTAGGTTCATGATATGCTACATCCTACATTTGAATACAAAAGCCGAAGAAGTTTATTATTTTTGCCTTGAAAATACATGGGAAATAAGTGCATTCGCCCATAAAAATCCCACATTTACCCACCACTACTGTATTTCTACGTCCTGCATTCGTACACTACAATATTAAACACACTTCATTTATTCATGACGTGTAAAAGGCTGTCGGCGCTTTAGGCCAAACATCTGGGAAACATCTTGAGAGTCATAGGTTTTGGATTAAAGAGATGAGTTGATACTGCAAAGTTTACCTAACCCCTATCCATACGGCAACCATGCCTTATTATTGTAGGTGAGCACTGCAACGGTCAGTTCTGAGCTTTTATATAAGTCCCATTTGTCATGGCTCTTATGTCAGGCCTGTTACACAGACGGTATTTTCCATTAATTAATCTTCCAGCTAAGTGGCCTGTATCTCACAGGAATTCCTGTGTTTGAAGTGCCACAGGGACAGAAGGGCTGCTTCCCATTTCAGTGTTTCCCTCTTTGTCCTAATCCTACCATGTTTAAAGTGCTCAGGAGTATAAAACTACGCTCAGCAGTAAGCACTAATATGCGTGTGTACGTGAACAAAAATTTGATTTCCATAATCAAATATATGGTACACACAAATATAGAAAGAGCATGTGCTGTATGTACTCTTTGCAGTGTACATTTAGTTTATGGAGTTAAATCCACATACTTTTCAAGAAGAGGAAATGGAGGAAGCTCATCCATCATGAAACTTTTGGCGTGTGACTTTTGCTCACTCACTCAAGATCTGCTATGTGCGTGTATTGATCAAAAAAGGCATGGATGTCTGGCATGGACTCTGTTTACGAATGAGCCCTTTTCATTTCCTTTGTCCAGGCTCCTTCAAATTAACAACCCTCATTTTAAATGAAAAGGTCACATCATAAGTGATTTTCATTAGAGAAACACCCGCTGTTGTGATGGCATCTGCTGTGAACGGGTTCCTTGACCAAAATGTGCTTCTGCTGTGAGCAATAAGGTTAAAGGTGCAGGCTACTCAAATAAAAAAAGAAGATGTTTTGTGATTACCGGTAGCATGTTTTGATATTAATCCATTCAGAATATTTTGGTTTCAACTGCAAATGGATTTGACAGTGTTCATTGGAATTTATTTTTTGTATGAATATGGCAATATGTGGTTTATACTGTGTTTCTAAAAAAGCATATTTTGCTGTTCAGTTTCACAAATATGATTGTTCAATGCTTTGAGCAGCATAATGTCATACACCAATGTGTAACACGTTTAAGATCTGTTTGGCTTTCATTAAACACGGTTATGTCTCTGTCTTTTACAGATCAACTTCCTTATCTTTATCCATATCATCAAAATTCTGGTGTCAAAACTTAGAGCACACCAAATGAGGTATACAGATTACAAATTCAGGTGAGTTTAAACGTTAACAATGTCTTATTTTCTATTTACATAAAAAAAGTCCACTTATTAGATCTGTTCTTTCTCTATGTCTCTCATCCCTCTCAGGTTGGCTAAGTCAACTCTAACCCTGATCCCCCTGCTGGGCATCCATCAGGTGGTCTTCATCTTCGTCACAGATGAGTCCACCAAGGCCACCATAGGACTGCGTCTCACCAAGCTCTTCAGCGACCTCTTCTTCTCCTCCTTCCAGGTCGGACCCTGAACAAATGACTTCTAGAACATCAGCTACTGCAATTTTCTAAAACTAAGACGACACCATTTATGAAATTACTCGACAACGACACTCACCTGGGATCAAGTGAGAGTTGAAACATAGTTAAGGAATTGTGTAGTTCATAATAGCCCCTCTGGTTCTTATGCTGAGACAACATTGAAAAAGAAACATACAGAATGAAGTGGAAGGCACACAACTGCAGCTGAGAAAAACATTCATGTTATCAAATAAAAAATAAAAAATTCACGCTACGCCAAATCAGCAGAGTAAACATCTTCCTTTCATCTTGTCTAAGTGTCATTCCAGATGAGCTTAATCAGTCGCAGCATGTCGGAGTTTCCCTTCCCCCAGACAATGGAGAAGTGCTGTATTTTTTCATGTGTCTGCAGGGATCACATTAACATAATGTGCTGTCTGTGCTGCTAACTGGCTGTGTCACAGTGTGACATAATGACAGTGACCTTTTTGCTACGGGGACAGCGATGACGTGTGTCGAGATAACAGACAACAACCAGGGGAATTGCCTTGATGAAGAAAGCGAAAGAGAGAGGAAAATAATACAAAGTCAAAGAGCACAAGTTCAATCAAGACAGAAGATACTCTGATGTGCTAGTGCTTGTGATTGATTTAGTCATAGAGCAACACATTTACAAACACGAAAAAGTGCATGCATTAATATGGTTCAAAACGGATTTTCAAAGTTTTAAACAAAGTACTCTAAATATTGTATCTGTCATGAATTAAAGATAGGAGACTGACTCAGTTTTGTTTTTCTCCACAGGGTCTCTTGGTGGCCATCTTGTACTGCTTTGTCAACAAAGAAGTAGGCGTCCTCATTTGCATTTGCACCGCAGAAACCCTTTGACAGCCCCAGACTTTCCTACCATCATCACTTTAATAACAGCTGCTTGTCTCTCCCTCCTCTCCTCAGGTGCAATCGGAGATCTTGAAGAAGTGGAAGCGCTGGAAGCTAGGGAGGAACATAGAGGAGGAATACCGCCACACCTACAGCAATACCCCCAACACCAAGACAGCAAGCCTGCTGAACCACGTCTCTCGTCTGCCTCATCTCCCTGACATCGCCAAGACCTCCTCCCCAGTCTGCAGCCCTGAGGAGACGCACATGCTTGTGGCTGGATGTCACAATGGTATGGTCAGCAGTAAGGGGGCAGGCCAGTGTGCCTCCCCGCTTCACGAGGGAACAAACTGCACCCTACTGGAGGACATGAGCCTTACGGACAGGGTGCATTGTTACGAGGGTCAGAGAGAGAATGTGGAGAGCCACCTGTGAAAGGTACCAGGAACAAGACCTTATTGAGCTCTCCTCTGGCTCTGTCATACTGCCCTGGGTGGCTGTGAAGAGCAGGGCTGATGAACTCATCTGTCAGAGTGTCTTTGCCCAGAGATTGGTGAAACTGAACGGAGATCAGCCCTCTCCACAGCCTGAGAACGGAGAATAATACGGCAGCCTCCTACACTGAGATATGCTGTGAGCCGTGTAAATTGATTTCTGTACATGTTTGTCGGACAGCAGAAGAAACTGCTGCATTTTGAACAATAGCATCTCAAGGCAGATAAGCCATGTACAAATAATAAGACAAAAACCTCAAACCTCAAATAGCAACAATGGAAACTAAACAAAAAGAAAAACAGTGTCATGGCTTGAGCCTCTGCTTTACTTTGTGATGTGTATCAAATGTGTGTTTTGTGATACTGGAGGCTAAAGACAACCTGGACATTGAACTGCATACACAAAAAGACCAAACAAGTTAATCATAACAAATAGTAGGAAACAAAATGCTTCTTTGCTTTGCTTTGATATCTGATTTATTGTCTAACAAGAGAATAAGCATTCTGCTTCATACAGTGAGGTGACCACAGTGCTGTCCCGGGGGACGTGGAAATTGGCAGCTGCTCTCACCAGGTCATTCCTGGCTTACATATAGCCAAGTGATGGTATGAGATGAATTATAAATCAGTTAAAATTGCTTGACTAGGTGTTTTACAGAAAATAAGTGTTTTTTTTATATAGGTCTAAACAATGGATTCTGTCGAGTGCTTAAGTTGTAACTGTGCAAATGTGCCAGGTGTGTTTTCAAGGGGGTGTATTTTCAATTTTGTAAAAGTGAATGTTTTCTTTTCACCTAGCCATCAAGATGTTGTCTGACTCACTTGCCCTGAACCTCAACATAATAACCCACTCAACCCTTGAGATGAAAGCAGAGGAAACTGTGCACTCAAATCAAGGATAAAAATACACAGCATATAGACATGGCCTGTAGAGGCACACATGCATACAGAATGAATCTAACACTGTGACTCAAAGTAACTTGTCATCTCTGGCACAGGGGTGTTTTTGCCGGTTTAAATATAGGCTGTCATGCATGCAGATTTTGCATATTTAGTTTAGGTTATTACAGTGCCATCTCATTAGTGTCCCCACTGTGCAAATGCAAAAAAGAGAAGAAAAACCGTTTGTGTTAATAATTTTCTGTGCCCAGTTACTCTACAAACAGTGTTTAATATTCAGCCTTACCCTGTGTGTGCAGGGGCTGTGGACAAATCTCTAAAAGTAGAACAAAACCTATAATGACAAATAAAAGCTAAATTAGCAGTGGTACATTCGCTTATGAATACATTGCATTTCTTTTCAAAAGAGGGAAGCCTCCTTCATAACGTTTATTTTTTTTGAGTTTCATCTTGACGTTGTATGTATGACTATTTGCACAATGTTAATTTATAATTGCTAAATACTGTGTATATATGTGTTTATACAGGTGATTTATTTGATAGCTGTCAATATTTGATTGTTTCTTGGCTTACGTGTGCGTGTTTGTATATTTTCAAGTGGGCATGAATGCGTGTGGTTTAAATATTCCAGATTTGTGGATGTGCTGCAGTAAAGATGAATCATCGGCATCAGCCAGATAAGCGATGTGTTGATATGACCCCGTTCAAACAGAGCTCGGAGGTCAGTGGTCAGTGCGAGTCCCACTCTAGCATAAACAGTGTGCGTCACATGAAAAAGTAATGCCTGTATAAGGAATAACAAGAACAGAGCTTTGTGTTTTACTATGGGAGCTGCTCTCATTGTGGTTCCTGTAAATAATTGTGTAGTTCAGAGCAAAATAAGAGCACAACATGCAGCATGTTTGTCATTCAGATAATAGCTCTGTGCATTTACACTTCAGCCAGGAGCTGGTGCTGAGTTGATGCTGAGGATAGTAATGGAGCAGGTAATCAGAATTGAGCTGGGAGCATGAAACACATCTGGCGCTGCTGTTGCCCAGAAGTTAATCCTCAGTGTTTTTCTTGTTTTCCAGAGCAGGAGAAATTATTAGATACTGTAACAGAGGAATGTTGTGCACCTTAAGTCAAATAGTATTTATATGTAAGTATGGTCTAAATATATTGCTGATTTTATTTCAAATTAATACATGTATTTTAAGCTGTGACCATGTATGTTTTTGAAGCCAGCAGCTTGGGTCTCTCCCCTATCTGGACCAAAGTGGTTCTGTATGAATGTATTCTATAAGGGGCCCAAATCAGTATGTTCATTTTCTCTTAAAGCTGGTTATGTACAATATATTTGCAGTGAGGAACCAATCAGTAAACTGTGTCCAGGTGTATACAGTTCATCATATATTGTGTCCGTTTATCAAACTTTGTCCTAATAGTGAAAGAATAAACTACAATGTATGTGAAAGAGTATTTTTGCTGTGTATTTTGTATCAGTGCACATTTAAGTGTCATAAATAAAAGAGAGAATGCATGTTGAAACATTGAAGCAATACAGCTGAAAACCCTTAGAAAAAAGTTAAAGAAAATAAATACAACTACAATTCCGTCTTGTTTATATTGTATCATTGATCTAATTATGTGCAATACTTTGTTTTACATGCTGCTGCAATGAAAACAATTCCCAATTTGGGATTAATAAAGTATATCTTATCTTATTTTAGTGTTGTTGCATGTAGTTTCTATATGGGTAAGAAATGCTTGTCAATGTCATCTGTTCGTCAAAAGAGAGCGTAAAGTGAAGAATGACAAAGAATGTCTTTAAACCATCAACGAGCAGCTCATGCAAATAAAAGCTAGCTGTTATCAGAGTTTCTATTTTAAGGGCAAACATGTGTATTGAGTTTCCCTTAACCCTAACCCTGGAGTTTCTTGTTAAAGGTAATCTATTATGCAAAATCCACTTGTTCATGTCTTTTATACATAAACATGTGTCCCCTCTGAGTAAAGAGATTCTGAAAGTTTTAGGAAAAAAGATTTGCTCACTTTTTGTCCTGATCCATTTATATAAAAACCTGTCTGAAAATGAGCTGATCAGATTTTCAATCAATCAATGTTTATTTATATAGCCCAATATCACAAATGTTACATTTGTCTCAGTGGACTTCACAGTTTGTACAGAATATCAGTATGACAATACGACACCCTCTGTCCTTAGACCCTCACATCGTACAAGGAAAAACTTCCAGAGAAAAACCCCACAGTTTAAAGGGGAAAATGGGAGAAACCTCAGGGAGAGCTTCAGTGGAGGGATCCCTCTCCCAGATGCCGTGTGTAAATCGAAGAGATAATACATTTTACAGCGTAGGTAGACCAAATGTTTGGAAATGCATGTGTCTATAATAAGAAGATGAATCCACGAGGATGTCAACAATCCTGTGGGAGCCATCAGGGAAGTAGTATGATGAGAGTCAGGCAGGACCGCAGAGACAGGTTCAGCCACGACTCGAAGTCCAGGACTCAAATCCAGAAATCCAGAAACTCAAATTTTGGCCACTCTATGATGTCATAAAGTTTTTTTGGCTTGTGTAAGCCCCCCAAACCTTATCACCTGAATCTCCTCCTAGAGCACCAATGTGTTCGTTTTAACCAAATATCTCTCAGAGGGGCGTTGGGAGTGGCTCCTTATTTTCATCTAAAGTAACAGACAGAGAATCAGCACTTTTGAAACAGGGCTGAAACAGAGGGGATTATGGGATGCTACAATGCATGAACTGTTTGGTATTTCGAGCAAAACACTTCAGAGACATGTTTTGTATATAACTGAGACCTATAATATACTGATGAAAAACAGTATAATAGGGGACCTTTAATATTGCTTGTTGTTACCTGTGCTCCAGGATGCCTGTCTATACCAGCCTGCCTCTTTGTCTGTGTTCTGTGCTTGGATCCACTTTCAAACCAAGCTGACACACATGACAGGAACAAAAGCGTAGCTAACCTAAACAAAAACATTTCCTGCTGCTCACACGCATTAGCATAATTCACTCTGTTACACAAAATGTAGAGGAGAGCAGGAGAGACAAGAGGCGAGCACAGAGATAGAGAGAGTCCGGATTTAGGGGTTTGGTTAATGCACAAGCGTCATCCGCCAGGTTGTTAGAGCTCATTAGCTTTGAGTACAGTCCCCTGGGTACACACTTTCTGCGTCGAAGCAACCCAATCTACCAAAGCTACTACATCCCCATGTAATATGAAGAAGACCCTCTCAGTTTACACACCACAAACACACACAGCCTCGTCTGAGAGATCCCCCCTCACCGCGGCCTAATAGTTTGTCAACAGCCCTGCACGCTCCGGTCTCAAGCATGCCAAATTAAATCAACTAAATGTGCAATCAGATTATCCCCATCAAACACAGAATAGGTCGAATAAATCCAATATCTCAGACAGTGTGGTGGTGGGAGCGGAAGCACTGAGTGAGTGACGTGGCTCTGGGTTAACTCACAGGCCTGGATGGGAGTCTGAGAGCCAAAAGCTTCTCTCAGTGGAAGATTAAAAGGAGAGCTGGTACCATTTTGTGCTCTGTAGTGTTAGCGAAGTAGCAAATTATATGAAAGGCCATTGACAATATCCCACAGTTACATTTTTATTCAAGTTTTAGTAGTTCTTAGTTTGACATTTTAAGAAATAGTGAGTTTTGGAAGAAAGATTTTGCTACCTTTCATCAGAGCAAGGTTCCCTCTCTATGCAGAGCTTAGCTAACTAGCCTCTGATATATATTGAAAGAGGCATCAATCTTCTCATATTACTCAGAAGAAATAGACTTATATTCCTAATTAAAGAAATCATTGACAATGTAATAGCGAGAAACGTTTTTGTCTACCTTTTCTCAATTATCGTTGTTCAGAGGAGATTAGAACGATAAAAAAAGAAAGCCGGACTCTGAAATCAGAATATAATGACAGGGGAAATGATGACTGACTGGTAATAGCCTCAGGCAAAAATGACAGTGACACAAAGGCAATTTTGTGGTTAAAGTTAAAACTCCGGGAACATTTGAGGTATAAATTAAGATATTACGTTTATAGGTGAAGTACAGCCAGAAATCCTCATTCAGGTTCTACTAAGAGGCAATTTCACATCCAATTGCTTTCATCTTGCTATTACTCAAAAGACACTACTATAATTCTCTTCTTTAAAGTGTTATATAATTTGTCCGTGAACAGTTCCACCAAATTGTTAGATGATAAATGACTTTATATTTTTAACAGCTTGTGACTGGCATACACTATGAAGGGCATTCAGCAGTTGACCCATGATGAGTTTTTTGTGCTTTTTTCTGACCACTTACCGAATAATTCACTTTGAAAGACATGCTAATGATGATGATCTTACATTTAATAGTAGGTTTAATATGCCTTACAGTATTTGTAAGTGAATACAGTATGTTTCAGCTGTGGAGGACCAGAGATTTGATTCATTTGATTCAAAAGAGACCTGTCCTGCAGAGTGGAAACAACCCAACACTCTTTTGATGTGTTGTTTTAGGTTAAAGCTGTCCACGTTTCAAAGTGAAAACACAATCTACTGCTGATACTGCAAGGGCACCACTTACTTTGACTTGACACAACTTTTTACCTAATAAACTTTGTCCATCTTTCTTGGTCAGAAAACCACTTTACACCTGCTGAGTTTCATCAATGTCGAAGCAGCAACTCAAGCAGCAACAACGAGTCAGATTTGTCGACGCTGATTCTCAACGGAGGCTGCAGGGTGAGGTCAGGAAGAAACTGAGTGTCACGATCTGTCTGTGTTGTGTTTTGTCTTGTCTTTTTCTGTCTCTGGTTTCCTGTTTTGTTTTGAAATGTTTTCCTCCTTGTGTCTTCTGTGTTTGCCTTCCTGTCTTAGTTTCCCTGGTGTGTCTGATTGTTTGATTGTGTTCACCTGTTGCCCTTGTGTTTCTGCCTCCCTTACCCCAGCTGTGTCTCGTCTTGTGATTACCCCTCTCTGTATTTAGTCTTGTCTTCCCCTGTGTGCCTTGTCGGTTCATTGTTTGTTTCTCCTGTCTCCCACCATGTTGGTCACGGTCAGTTTCTGTAGAACCTATGTGTTTCATGCCATGCTATTGATCAGCTTTTGGAATAAAGCTCGTTTTTGTTTCTAGACCTTGTAACTTTGTTTTGTAGTCTGCATTTGGGTCCTACCCTTTCCACGCATTCCTTACACTGAGAGAAGAGTAATGTTTTCTTTCTTCCTGAAGTAATCTTCACTTTTCTTAGCAAACTTCCACACTTCGAAATTGTTGTTGGCCCTCAAAAAATATGATCTAAAGATGTACAAAGATTATTGTCAAGATTTTACAGGCCTAAATAACTATAAAACATGCACCAAAACAAACTGTCATCATTTCACCTTGTATTGTGTTAAGAGTCAAATTATTGTATTGCATTTAATCCCGTATTTTGAAAGTAATGCTCTATTTTGAAGTGCTCTACCGTGATGCTGGACAGCTGGTTCAAGTCACCGGGTTTTTGTTTTGTTTATCATGAAAAACAATCCTATATTGTCCCATATCTGTACACTTTATTCTGTCCTGACTTTTACTAGAAGTCAGCTAGGGACCGGTTGTAACTTGTATGGCTAAAACATTCCCGTAAGGCCAATGCATACAAATAGAGTGCGGACATAGTGCAGCTAAAATGTTTATTGTGGCTTACATAAGGTTAGTTCTAAGCATCCAAAGGCTACAGTTTGTTTGTTATGCTTAACTGTCCAGAGTACTGTGAACAAATTAGATCACATTAGATATGATCTGTATGCCACCTGACCTTACCCACGCTGACACATTACTCTACACATAAGCATAAATAAGACATGACATGTATATGGTCTTAAACATTTGACTTGCAGTAGCTCACTGTTAAAAATGAATCCTATTCAAAAGATAAGGAAATGAAGAGTCAGAAAAAATAAGTCTATTTGTTTCCATCTGAACGTTTCTGATTCATCTCTATTAAAGTACTGACCATTGTGTTGTTTTATGGAGAAACCCATAAAGCCTTTCATTAGAACGAAACAATTATGCACAAAAGCTTGTCAAAAATGACATTTCAATGAAGGAAAAGATGAGGGTGTAATTATTAAGAGGGAAGTGACATGAACAAAAATAACCATCATTTAAAAAACTAGAATGGCACTCAGAGAGCGCAGCCCCCTCCCAACGCCAATAGCTCATCCATGTGGAAGTACTTTTCAGCCATTATCTTGGCTTGCCTGGTGACGTGATGCTTTTCCACCAATAGGTTTAAGAACCATGATTAAGTTGCATCATCATAATTGTTGAGTATTGAATTTCAGCTCCATCCGAACCAAAGATTATATCATTAAAAGCGTTGTGTTCAATGTGGAAGTGCACATCATAATTGGATAAACACCCAAAATTGAGCAAGGACGCCCCGGCTAAAATAGATTTTTCCTAACCACTGAAATCGATTAGCCTCGTGACCAGAAGTGAACAGCTTGACATCTGTGTGACCTTCTTAATGGTACTCTGACCTTTTTATTATAGTGTCCGTGGATACACCCCTCGCCTGAAGCACCAAAT